GCCTGACAAATATTTCCAAATCTATCAGGGTTTAAAGATTTGCAATTTTTTTGATGTCTTTAGATACGGCGCACCATATTTACATGCAACAAAATTTTGAAGATGTTTAAACGCGTTTCGCGTAACTTATCTATGTAACATGCATAAATTTGGATTTTTGAGCCGGATCTAATATCTAATTTGGCACGTGATTCCCCCTACCCTTAAAAAAGGAATAAGTCTTAAAAAATATGTGTCTCAAATTTGGTGGAGATTGCTGAGCAAAAAAGGGTTAAAATTAATCAGATTATGATATTTACTGATACCCTATTACCCAATTTGGCATCATTCAACCAGTATAAAGAGAACCAATAGATTATATGGGGCATACTGCAACAAAATCAAACAAAGTGAACATTGGTATTACTAACAATTTCAGGGATCAAAATTTAGTAATGTGATTATTAAAATCCCCCATTTGTTATCCTCTTGATATATATAACTACTTCTATATAAAAATAGTTAATATGAAACTCATTTATATTAGATCTACCATGGAACCAAGAATTATAGCACCATTAGAAGTATTTTAAAAAAGGAACAAGGTGAAAAAATTGCTCCTTATATTTTCAAAATAAATGATGCTCAGACACTTGAAACTTATCTAAGAAAAGAAAGGATTGATTACCTATGAAATTTACCAAGAAGAAAGAAAAATAATAAATGTTAGAAAAAGAAAGAATGAAGGTGTACTATTACCCAACAAAAAGCAGAAACCCTTAGAAGGAAAATAATCTCATTGTTACAATATTAATTTATTTTTTTATTACGCTTTAGATAAATACATTGATAAAATATATTATGTGTGGACGTTGTATGACTTGTTAATGGTTAGACTAACATGTAATATATATTATATACATTATATTTTATTATGATCAAAGTATTGATTGTTAAAAAATCATCTTATTATAAGATAGATAAGCTAAAAATTTTTTTGCACAATCTAATTCCTTAAGAAATCTTGAAGTACTGCATTGAACTGAGATTCGGCTTCAAGATTAAATGCCATTTGCAATTCTTCAGGTTTGTCAGCTTCTGATGACTGAATTCATCTTCCGGATAGATTGATAAGCTTTATATCTATATATTTATTTATATTTATTTATATTTATTTATTATTTTATTATGACGTTATCAATCTATGTAATTTATATATAAAGGACATTATTTAAGTAATAAAATATGACTTGTATTTTTACAATATTAAAATACCTGTTCAAAAATACACATTTGATCCTTCGCGAAAGTAATTCTTACATATGACAAATTTATAACAATAGAAATTTGTATAATACAGCAATGTAAAAATAACATGCAAGCATTTTTATCATCATTTATTTTTTAATATACAAATTATATAAAAGTCCTCATCATAATATTTAATTAATATTTAATTTAAATTTGCTATTAATTTAAAATTTGCTATAATATGAAATTTTTAATGAGAATTACAACTAATGATAATAAGAATTCATTGGTGATTTCATTGTTCTACCTAAAGATGATATCAAAAAATCTTTCTCATTTTTTTTTGAAGATTTTTTACTAAGTTCCGAGTTTAAATTTTCCACAAGTTTTTCCATCTCATTAATCGCAAACTACAGTTATCAAGAGTGACTATTAGTAACAATCATCAGTAATATTTACAGTAAATTCGATTATAAAAATGAATTGTTACCATTAACTTATTTATATAAAGATAATAATCGTTGTTTTCTTCTTTTACAGGAATTTCCAATTTTACAACTTTTCGAATTCTATATACACCAAATCCTGGCTGATCTAACACATAGATTATTATTTCAAACCCTATTTTCAAATGTAAAAAAAATAAAGATCATTTTGAGGAAAGAAAAGATTCCCTTGTACATATATTATTAATTAAATTACCTGATACAATGATACCATATATTTCCAAGTTTTTTAAATTCCAACAACTAGAATAATTTGTACCAAATTTTTCATAAAAATACAATGCAATACTATCGTAACAATCTTTCATTAATCTAAAAAGTTTTCTAGTATCACCATTCATTTTATCCTCCTTTTCATTCCATGGCTGTGAACATACCTCACCAACTAAAAATTCAAATTTTACATCAGGCTTGATTGACTTTCTAGATACAAATATCACGTCAGGACGCTTTCCTTGCTTTTTTCTCTAGAAGAACAAGAAAATAGCAAATTATTATGAATTTTTTTTTTTTTTAATGAAAAAAATTTATTAAGGTTTACCTTTTTTTCTACTATATGATTTTCTTTACTATCATCACTAGAAACTTCATTTCTTCGTCTTTTTGAGCTACGGCTAGCCTTTTCAGACCTATTATTAAAGAAAAAAAATATTAGTTAAAATTTGTTGGTAAATAGGTACTATACAAATAAAACAATTATCATTTTACATTATTAATTTTAATTTGGGAATGCCTCTACTACTGATGTTGAATGGTATGGAGATACAATGGTCCTCCCAGGTCCCTTCATTCAATTCATGGTCTTGTTCTATATATTCTTGATTTTTTCTTAAATATTTGCTAAAATAGAGATCCATTAAATCAAAAAAAAATTTTTGAACCAATAAGAATATAAATTAAATCGATGTACAAGTGTGTGCAATAAAAAACAGATTGACTCAAAAATGGGGTATGGTCCCTATAAATATGTTACTCCCCATAGTGAGTTTGATCTGTTTCTACTGTACAAGTCTCATATATGTGCGTATGTATATTTAATGTAAAAACATACAAATGATTCACCAATTCTTTCATATTCTGTTTATTTATGACAGGTTGATAGTCTGAGCTATTAATTATAGACCTAGATATATTGGATATCTCTTCCAATTCAACCATTTCGAACGAATCTCTTATCAATTTTTCTGATGTGACAACTATTGATGAGACCAATGGGTCACATCATAATCAAGTAGATCTTCTAGGTTTTCTTGCAGGATTATATATTGGATTTTTTCCTGAACACTTTCTGAAATACTGTCAATCGTCCAGGGCCATTCTCTAATACATTCTTCCTAAAACAAGAAAATGATGAGAAAGTGACAAATATTTTATGTGAATATACATTCAAAGCTATAAAATTTATGCTTACGTTTAATTTTAAAATTTCTAGGTCTTGTTTTTCAACTTTACCAATTATTTTAAGAAATAATTTATAGATATGTTGGTCCTATGAATAAGGAATAAAGATAACAGTGGCATATGTTTAATATTATGAATATCCATTTCTGCAATAGATATATACCATTACAATATTATAATGTTATGAACATCAAATGTTCATTGTCACAAATAGAGAATATACGAAATAATATCCATGGTTAATTAATTTTTTTTGAAAAAAACAACCTCACAATCCTGTATTTTTTGGTTGCAAGTTTCTATAAGATCAGGTTCATTTTCTCCCAATTTCTTAAAAAAGTGTTTGTAAGTAAAAATTGCAAATTCATAACTTATTTTCTTGAATTTGCTACAAATAAATTTGCAAAATGATTCAAAAGAGGACAATTTTTCTTTCTGAAGGTATCTTTTCGATGAACGATAAAAACTTTTTTCTTCACGAGTTAATTTTTCACCAGAGTCTTTTACAGGATAATCAACCAAAGAAAATGTTGCCGGTGTCAATGAAGAAGATGAGGAGGAAGAAGAGAGAGGAAGGATTCTTTAAATAATAAAAAAGTTTATTACAAATCGTGTCACACAATAATCTGAAATCATTGGTTCGCAAACTTCATACAGTCAAAGCTTGTTAAATTCATAGGTTCGGCACAGTAAATTTTATGAATTTATCGAATATCGAGATTTTGTTATTACTATAAATATGAAATTATCGAATAAATGTTTAATATAAGTGGCACTACTAGTTCCAGAAAAATTATGAATTTATCGCATATGAATTTAACGAGCTTTGACTGTAGATAGTTACTTCCGCAGCTGGGTCAAATTCACATATAAACTAGAGTGACGTCGAGTGGCAATAACCACCGCCACCATCCTTAAAACACTTACCCAGAGATTTCAGCTATTTCCTTCTCTTTTCCTCTTTTATTGTTATTGAATTTATTACGCGGCATGTTTGTTTATTTTTTATAAAATAAAGAGTTGTTTACTGATCGACGTGTACACATTAATTAATTATTTTTTTTTTTTGGGAGGACAGACGCGAATTGATTTTTTTTTTTTGGAAAAACAATTTATTTTTTGACAGAGTCTAAGGTGACAAAACGTGAGTGTTGTTGTTTGGTTTGGTTTGGGTCTCCTAAAGAAAACGTGTTAATAACTAACAGAGGTACTATTTTTTATTTGTATTGATTGATATTTTTATTTTAGTTTACAAATATTTTAATTGGAATCAAAACGCGGAGCAGATCTCGGTGGGTAATTACAAGATTTTCATTGATAATATTCTACTTTTCGTAATCAATAATAATATTATTATAAATATTATAATTACAAGATATCAAGGTGGCATGACTGACTGTTGCAGAAGAAACAATTCAATATGAAACAATTCAAGTATGAAACAATTCAATATGCAATGTTTGATTACAGGAAAATAGCAGATGTTGAAGCATGCACGCTACCTTGAACACTTTACAGTCGTTCACACACCTTCCTCATGTACACAAGGCTAATCTAACCAAGATTACCCGATGATACAACGATGCTGTTAAATTCTAGGGGAGGGGCGCAATGCCCTGGAATGCATCAAGACTGCATCAATCATCAACGACACTTTCACTAATCTTCTCAGACCAGAGAAGGCTGCTGGCATGCTAGCTGAAAAGTTGCCTGCAACGATCCTACCTCTAGGTAAGGATGGCTCTGTGATCAAGTCGCAACTCTGTTGATGAATAGTAATGCTATGTAAACATCCAGATCCATCAAAGCAATGAGAATCTGCAGCTTGTTTCAAGCTACAAGGGGCAACAATTCAAAGCAGGGTTGGTGGCCCTGAAATTGCATTTGGGCTCTGGTGTTTGGAGGAAGGCTGTAAAATAAAATGGTTCGGGTTTTGGTATGTTTGTTATAAAATTAATCATTTTCTGCAATTTAACTTGATATTTTTTAAATGTTGACTCTTACCCATATAACCCACCCTAGGTTAATAAAGGAGTGTAGCTCAATGAGAGCATGTTCTTACAAGTATAAATGTGGCAGTTCGACTTTGCTTACTTCTATTGTGATAGTCATCGTGATCACTGGCATCAAGGTGAAAGCTGTAAAATAAAATAGTTCAGATTTGTTTGGTATGTTATAAATTAATCATCTTCATGAATTTTCTTAATTGTTATTTGATCAACTGAACTTGTTATTTAAATGGGGTAGGGTTGTTAGTGAGTAGGCATGTCACCAACAAGACAGCAACCCAGGTTGCATTGGAGAATTTTGAATTGGTTGCAGACACTGACTTTATTCCAATGAGAGGGATATAACACAAAGCAATCATCACACAAGCACCAGCTATCAGTGATCAATTTTAAGCCTGGTCTGAGAGAAAGATAAGGGAATGTTTTGTCCAAAGCCTTTCAACATGTGTGGAACCTAGTCTGTGAAGAAAATTCCACAGTATGAGGCGTGTGGAAGCACCGCATTGCATGTTTGTGACAGGAAAATTTTAATTAAATCCGATGTCTGGAATCAACATCAGATTTATTATTTATAAGGAACTATAATTGATAATTAGGAAAAATAATTTTATTCTTGTGAATCCCAGAGATCTGGGTAGACACGCATTGTTAAGAGTTTTATTTCTGCATGGGCCTTGGTATTATCACTACTTGGGTGATGCAACTGTTTGTTATGTCAATGATGGGGATGCGCTACTCCGTAACAATCTGTATTAGTGGACTTGGAGGGAATATTAAGGCAGACAACTGTAAAAAACTTTTATAATAGAAGTAGTGATCATAGGCTAGTATTATAAACAATATTGGTTCATGGATAAAGTAGCGGGAAGGAACTCTCATTCTATGGATTAAAGCTCAAGAAATTCCTCGCTTTAAACACTCGCAATTCCATTATCTTATATCACATTCATTTTTTATTTAGTTGACTTCTTTATATCAACGAAAAATAATAAATATTAATAAAGTTTCGCCCGAACTGGACTAACATATGTGATATGTTTGTTTGCATACATCGTAAAAATTAATTTCTTGCAAAGAGCCGACAAATCGTGAATACAATGAAAAATTACATAATTCAAAAAGAAAAAAATTTGAAGAGGTTAACTTTAGCTTTTATGCTTGTTCTTTTAGCAATTGCTATGAAATTAATTAATTATTATTGCTATACTGTATTACCATCTCCACGATCATTATTGTTAATATTGAATCTAGCAAATCGTATAAAAATTAGTGGATGATATGTAATAAGAAATTTGAACCAACAAATAACGTAATTAAAATAAAAAGTTTTTACTACAGGAAAAAATTTATCCAATAGTCTACGTCAAACATTTTATCAAGTGTTGTTGTATATCCCTTTAGCACTTTCCCTATTTGAAATATGTGGTGGGTGGGTGGAATCACTCGTCCCTATTGTTCTTGGTAAACATCAAAAAATAACTAGCATGTTAAATGATGAAGATGCGGTTATTAATGTTTGCATCGAGAAGAAACTTTTGATGGTTCCATAGTGATAGGATCAACGGCATTTCGACTAATAAACTTATTCTTTAATAATATTATCATATTCTATATTTTAGATTAATTCAATCAAATACCTTGTAATATTTCGAGGAACACTCCTCGTTATTATATACTATTTTTTAGTAATAAACAATAATAAATATTATTGATATTGGATGGTTTTGAAAGCAATCTTTTAAATAAAGTCAAAAGTTGATATTTTTTATTTATATCAAATTGGGAACCAAATAAAGAAAAGATTGGCCTCCTTAAAATAACTTTTTGATGATATATGATGTTGCTGGAATAATAAAAGTTATTTTACATTAATATAATTAACTAAATTTTACTAACCATTATAAAAGAATATTTAATATATGTTAAATATAATAATGAATGTACAAAAAAAAATGTAAAGATTTTACAAAAAATCGAATGAAATCTCTAATTAAGATGCAAAATGTAATAATTAATAATAAAAATTGAAAAAAAAGGAAAAGAAATATAGGATACAATAATTAATTATAATAAAATCAATATTAGTTTTTTGTGAGTACAAAAAAAATGAAGTGAAAAAGTTTTTTATGAGTCTCCTTAATATTTTCTGTTAATAATATTAATATAAATAAACCAATTACTTAACTAATTGATATTTTGTATAAACAACATATCATTAATTAATAATAAATCTTCTTAATCTTATGGATCGATCTGAATTGTTACTTGTGAAATATGGTATTTATCATTCAACATATTTAAAGCTTTTGTTAAAATTGAAGAATTTGAAGATGCTTCAGCCTGATTATCAGTCTTGTATTCACGACAAAGATGTGCCGTAAGTGTTGTCTATTCAAATAAATAAATAATTAGTAATTATTAAATATACGATAAATAATGATTAGATGATTGGCATTAATCAATTATAATCAACATACTCTTCCAACAGTCAAATCCCATACTATATTTTTTAAAAAAAAAGAAATCAATTATTATTAAATTTTTTTTTTTCTAATTTAAAAAAAAAAAGAAAATACTTACTATGTAGATCATGTACACTTTTCACTCCATCAATAGCTTCCAAATCCATTCTGATAGCATCAGAATCGATGTGGGATGGAGTAGCTTTAATTTATTAAAAATAAAAATAATAAAATAAAAAATAAAATAAAAAGTTAATTAACTAAATTATTACAATGAATTTTGTGTAGTCCCAATAAATCATTATACTTGATACAAACCTTCCATCAAAATCCTAATCCCATTTTTAAATATACCGAAAGTTGTTGCTAATACAAGAATAGAAAATGCAAAAGTACATAAGGGATCAACCCAGACTTTTGTCTCGTCAAAAATAATGACTATCGATGAAATTAAAACACCCAATGATGATAACAAATCACCCAAAACATGAAGCAACGCTGCATGGACATTAACATTATCACCACTATGATGATGTTTATGGTGAGCATCGTCATTTCCATGATGTTCATGTCCCAAAATAAGTATTAATCTATAATAATAATCATTGTTATTTTAATTTTATTTGGCATAATTAATGAAAATTTTTAGAAAAGAAAGGTAAAGGAGAAGAAACTTACACAATATTAACTACAACACCAATTGCAGCAACAAAACTCATTGTTTTTCCATCAACAGGTGTTGGAAATTGTATTCTATAATAAGCTTCAACACACAGCCATCCAGTAAGAAGCCATATAATAATTATAGATATTAATGCTCCTAGAATTTCTGCACGATGATAACCATATGAAAGTGCTACATAACATATGATATATATTAATAATCTCTTTTAAATTATGAGGAAGTAATAAATGATAATTATGAACATTTTTTCTTACAATTTGTAGCAGGTCTTCGAGCAAGATATATAGATAAAAGAGAAATAGCAAAGCTAACCACATCTAAGTTATTACAAAATATTAATATCAATAAATATAATTTTATAGAAATAAATTTACGCTCATACTGAAGTGTGAACGTTTTTCAACCTACCACTCAATAAATGAAATGAGTCGCTTAATAAAGCCAAACTTCCAGCAATCCAACCACCAATAAGTTCAATGGTAAAAAAGAGACACGCTATCACTATTGCTATCCATAATTTTCTGGCACTATGCTTTGAAGATTTTTCCATTTGATACCTTTTTTTATCATCACTTGAGCCACAATAATTTGACTTGCTTGGAAGAAGTGGAACAGTAGCTTGAAAAGAATCGCTACTATCGTTACTTGAATTATCGTACTCTATAGAAACACCTCTGGTATAAACAATATTGTTCGTGTTGTTGTTATCATCTTTGTTGTTTTCATCTTTGTTGTTTTCTGGTGGTAGTATTAATGTTGGTGGGTCAGGAATCTGTAGAGTAGAAGTGTCATCCATTGAATTTGTCATTTGTGTTATATTTTATAATTTACAATCGGTTATAATGCTAAAAATATATTAATAATATAATAAATATTTTTTTTATTTTTTTTTAGAAAAAGGCTTTTGATTTCTTTTATTAATATGGACTGGTTAATTTGCAGATCGTTTGTCAACTGGGGAATTTTTAATAAAGACCGTGTTACTACAATATGGGCATACAACAAAATAATACAGTCAAACCTCGTCACAGCGGACAACAGATTTAAATTTTGTCCCCTTTTTTTTACTAATTAAAAAAATCCGCCACAGCGATTTTATTATATAATAAATTCGTGCCACAGTGTTAACGGATTTTTGATTGGGAACCTTCTATATTAATATGACTACTAATACTACCAAAAAATCCGTTGTCCGTTGAAACGCGACTTAAATATAAAATATAAAATCCGTTGAAACAAGAATTTTTTAATTAATAAAATCAAGGGTAAGGGGGTAAAAACAAAAATCCGTTGAAACGAAGGTTTGACTGTATGTGGTAATCAAGATATATATTATATAAACTCTATATTATATGATTGTTAAGTATGTCAATATAATTGGATTTGATGAAAATAAGCTGTGAAATCAATCCTCTTGTCAACCTAATCAGTCCTGATGAAAGAAAGAAAATTTTTAGAAGGATTTTCTTTGAATTTATACAAGTAATATAATATCTTCATCAATATCTAACTTGTAAAAAGTAAAAATAGTCAATTGGCCAACTTTTAAGGAAGATTTTACGAAAACCACAAGGACAACAACCGAATTTTTATTCACAGATCAATCAGCTGAATCTCAAAGATCATTTTCGTATTAGGAAGTAATACCTTCAGCCATCAATAGCCGAAAAACCATTTAAGGGATAACATTATTATCACTAAAAAAAAATTTTATATAATTATTGATTAAGATGAGATTCTATTGTAGTTTGCCTCATTGTATTTATTGTTTTCAAACTAATCTATCTATCAAGAGAATTAACCAGTTTTATTCGTTGATTAGAATAAACAAAATTCATATTTTTGAGAATTAGATAAAGTTACTCTTTTTGGAGACATTTTATTTAGAAGCAATAAAAAAATAAAATATTTAATGAAATGAGTTTGAATGCAAAAATTAGATGGTTGAGTATGTAAGGGCATATATTATTTTTAATTTATTAATGATAAGGTTAATTTATAATAGAAGTTTTATTTTTAAAGTTGGTTACAAGAGTTTAGCTGTTAAATAAGATTCTTGATTCATGTCTTATTTATAATAATTTCAACTACATAAGCTTCTTTGTTTGCATTCTTGTACTTTTGTTTTAATAACTTTTGTATCTATTAAAAAGAAAGAATTCTTTATTTCCCTGTCACTTAATAAAAATGAACAATTCTTTATCCACCTCTTACAAAATAATTTTGTCATACTAATAAATTTAATTCTTTACCTTTTACTAGTAATAAATTTAATTCTTTATATTCTTTATTTTACTAAGTATAAAATTTAATTCTTTATCATCTCTTACAAAAAATCAATTCTTTAAAGAAAAAGTATTTTAATTAATAACGTCGCACAATTTTTATTGGACAACGACCACGTAAAAGTCACGGAAGTGAACTTAGGAGAGGGAGTTTTATATATATGTGAATGAAAAAAGACCGTGCAGTGCAGGGGGAAGGGGTGTGTACTTATCTCTAATTCCCGAGCTTGTGAATGAATGAAAGCGTGCACTTAGAGGGGGTTGACTGTATTTGAAAAATATATATGTTGTGGTAAAGTTGAGTCTCGATCTATGCAACAACAGAGTTATTTTTTAAAAAGAATCGACAGAGATGGACTTCTATTCTTTCAAAAATTATGTGCAAAAATGGTGGTTATAGACTTCGCGCACCATATTAAAGAATTTTTAGTATTGTTGTATATATGTGAAATTTTGGGGTGGGGTGTTTTGATATGAAATTCTGATTGGTTAATTTGAATTTCACGTGAATTGCAAATTCACATGGATTTCATTTCACGCACAACAGTATCAAGGATTAGATCGGAACTGATCAGAAATTTTATGTAATAATAATAATAGTGGTGGTGGTAACGGTGGTGGTAGTAGCAAATATAATAGCAATAGTAGTAATAAAAGTAATAAAAAGGAAAAATTTCAAATTTCAAATCTTTTTTTATTATATGATATAAAATCAGAGAATGTGTGAATAAGAGAAATTCAAAATTTGTCAAAAAAATTATTATATAATTAAAAAGTATATATTTAATAAAATTAAAAGTTGATGAATCTATGAATAACATATGCATTTGATATTATTTATATATATAATATGTGAATCGGTTATTTTATATGAGCCTTTCCTTCAAGTCTTGAGTATTTTGCCATGACTTTACCACAATTTGGACACGAATGAACACAGTCTTTTAAATCATTAATCTATAAAAAATTTTAATAATAATAATAAAATCATTTATTAATTCAAATGAGAAAAGTAAAAATATATAAAATGCAAATAATAATAATAATAATATAAACTTACACAAAATGGGAATAAACAACAACAACATGAAGTAAGTCCAACTAAAAATAAGCCCAAAGAACTTAACAAAGTAGCTGAACCTGACTTGAACTTGGTACGACTTAACACAATTGCTTTACAATGCGGACAAGTTGTAATTGTAGGTTTGGTTTTTAATGCTTTTAGAGGAACGGGTGACGATAAAAAAACTGTATCTGCTGAATACGTAGGATTAGCTTGATTTAATAAAGGTGTGGATGGTAGAGGTGGTGGTGATAGTGTGTGGTTATAAAGCACCTCAGGATAAGGTTTTATATCTTCTTCAACTGTAACTCCACGAGAATCATTTACATTTGATGAATATGGTGGAGGCAGATCATAGGGGATATTATCGTTATTATTGTTATGATTATTGGAAGAAGATTCTGCTGATAATTTGTCTTTTTTAATATTTGTATTTTTTGACATTTTTAAAAATAAAAATAAAATTATTAAAAATTATTAAATTGTTCTTTTTGGGTTACGAAGGAAGGATCTTTAAATTCCGGATTTTCGAGAAATCAGCCGACTTATCAACAGTGGTGTGTGACCAATGCAGATTTCTACAAATTTAGAAACCATATCCAGGAAATTAATTGAATTTTATACCGCAAGGTGTACCACGTTATACAAACCGTTGATTCTTATATTAATAATAATATCTCGATTTCATTTTATTTATTTTGTGTATTAATTAAGGATAGGGCCAGTGTAACGTACAAAAATATAATTTCTTTGAAATTGTTCAGATTTTTTTAAAATATAATATAATGCCATACATATTATTTACAGGTTAATCGGATCCGGTTTTGGTTGAAACCCATAATTGGTAAAAAAAGACTATAATTAATTGACTGACTTTACTACAAAGCAAAAGCACAAATCAAATGTAATAGTAATGACATCCAAAAGAAGTTTAAATTTTGTAAAAAATAAATGAACTTCCCATGGTCTAACTTATACGTGAGTCATGTGAACAAAATTTGACCAATCATATGTCATCAAAAATGGCACCCATTCCTTAAATAAATATTTCGTGCACCTGACAATGATAATTATTTCCTTTTTTGGATCACGCAGTCGAAGTTCAATAATATATTTTTTTTTTTTAATTTAATTGAATGTGGACAAAAATTATAATCCTTATTTCGAAGAATATAATCGTATCAATAACTCATTTTGGGGTTCTTGAACCATAACTACCTTTTGGTTAGCATAGAGCCCATATTGTATTTCTTTGTATCTATTGGTTCATGTAAATATTCTTTTTTTCCTTCACCAAATTCTCCTACAATATGTCCATTACCACACAATTTATACTTGTATATTACCAAACCTTCAAGTCCAACTGGTCCACGTGCATGCGTCTTGTTTGTACTTACCTGAACATTTTGTATAAATAATAAAGAAAATAAAATTGTTATGATGGCAATAATGGAAAAAAAAATTTTTCATTCCAACAAAAAAAATAATAATTGATACGTTACTCCAACTTCTGCGCCAAACCCGTATCTAAATCCATCGGCAAACCTTGTACTGGCATTCCAATAAACACCAGCCGAATCAACACCTTGCATGAATTTTTTTGCTGCCGTCTCATTTTCTGTGACTATTGAATCAGTATGTTTGCTACCATGTATATTGATGTGTTGGATTGCTTCTTCCAATCCATTTACAACTTTAACGGCAATTTCAAGATTCAAAAATTCAGTGTCAAAATCCTCTGGTACACTCACTTCTATCAATGAGTTGTTGTTGATGTGTGAGACATATGGTAATAGTTCATGATCAAGATGTAATTTAACATTAGCTTCCAATAACGCATTTATTATAGGTTGAAGATGTGTAGAAAGAATTCCACGGTGTATCAAAAGAGTTTCGGCTGCATTACAAGCTGCAGGATAATTTATCTATGATATTTTTGGAGAATTAATAACAAATTTGTTAATAAATGCATAACAGTTGAATTAATCATTAACATTATTTGAAAAAATAATAATATGATTTTATATAATACTTTGGAATCAATGACAACACGTATTGCTTTCTTAAGGTCTGAATCTTTATCAACATACACAGTGCATAATCCATCAGCATGTCCTAAAACAGGAATCCTATTAAATTATATATTTTATTATAATATTGAAAACAAATAAATTTTATGAACATTTATTCATCAATGTTTTTATAAATACCTTGTATTCTCTTGTATATATCTCACTAAACTGTTACTTCCACGTGGAATCACCAAATCGATATATCTATCTAAATCTAATAATGCTTTAATTTCTTCTCGCGTTTCAACAAGTTGAATGACACTTTGTGGAATTGCTGTTTCTGATAAAGCTAATTTAATTGATGAATACAGCGCATTTAATGTAGCAATTGATTCTTTTCCTCCTTTTAATATCACAGCATTGCCTTTAAAAAAATTTTTGGTTTTTAATATTTAACAAAAACGATATAAATATTTAATTAACCAAAATTTTATTTGTACCTGATTTTATTGATAATGCTGAAATATTAACAATAACTTCGGGTCTTGCTTCAAATATCACCAATAAAACTCCAACAGGACAAGTTACTCGATACAATTCTAATCCTTCGTCAAGTTTACTGGAATATGTGATTTGTCCGGTTGGATCAGGCAATTTATCAATATCAGATACTCCTTGTAACATAGTAATAAACTTATCTCCACTTGTGATATCTAAACGTTTAACTAATGACTGTGGAAGTGCACCAGTCTTTACAAGTTCTGCTGCATTCTAAAAGTCATATATAATTAATAATTAATTTTTAACCTTTAGTTAATCAGTCAAGAGTAACTATCTCAAGTTCTATTTTCCAACCGCAAAACAAATAATAAATTACTAGTTTGTCATGTTCATTAGATTCGAAAATTTCTTGTTTATGTTCAAATATTTTTTCTTTAATTTTATTTAGCGCAATACTTTTTTCTTCAATTGAGACATATTGAAGTTTAGTTGCTGCTTCTCGAGCTTTTTTTGCAAATTCAATTGTAGTTTCATTATTCATTTTTTAAAAAAATAAATTATTTAATTCATCTTTTAGAGAAAATTGATTAAATTTGCGTGTAACGATTTAAAATCAAAAAAAAAAAAAAATTTTTTTTCAAAGAATTTATTTAATATTGTTTTCTAACAATGTAAGATTAACTTTTTTTTAAAAAACCAACTCAAAAATGATTTTATTTTTAAAATTGCTTTATTCTCATATACAAATTAAGGGTGAATTTAAGAAGTCAAAAAAAGTTGGCGGCTAGTGTACTTGGGTGTGGCAAAAGAAAAGTATGGTTGGATCCCAATGAAGTTGGAGAGATTTCTAATGCTAATTCTCGTAAGAATTTTTAATCTCTATTGATAAAATTCTTTTTAAAGATGATTAATCAATCAATCAATCAATTGATTAATTAATTATTCATCAATCAATCAACCAATCCAATTAATTATTGACAATCATAGGTCAAAATATTCGTAAACTTGTAAAAGATGGTTTTATTATCAGAAAACCACAAATAATTCATTCTCGATTCAGAGTTAGAGAAAAATTAGAAGCTAAACGTAAAGGTCGTCATACCGGACCTGGTAAAAGAAAAGGTACATCAAATGCTCGTATGCCAACCGAAGTATTATGGATGAGAAGGCAAAGAGTGTTGAGAAGATTGTTAAGAAAATATAGGGAAGCTAAGAAAATTGATAAACATTTGTAAGTGAATATGATCTTTATAACTATTTTATTATTATGTGAAATTTATCAATTACATACTTTTTACCAATTATTTATATTAATTGATTAATTGTTAGATACCATCAATTGTACATGAAATCAAAGGGTAATGTATTCAAAAATAAACGTGTATTGATGGAATATATTCATAAGGCTAAAGCTGAGAAAGCTCGTACCAAAACATTAGCGTATGTTATCATTATCATTACTGATATCATCAATGATTGTTTATTGTTATTAATGTTGGTAGAAGTTAATATTTTATCTCCTTCAATAATTATTCATTTAGTGATCAAGCTGAAGCTCATCGTCAAAAAGCCAAAGCTGCTAGAGAACGTCGTGTTATACGCCAAGCCAAAAAGAAAGCAGATTTACTTGGTTTAAATACTGAAGAGGAAGAAGAAGATCAAACCACTACACAAAAATAATAATAAAATAAATGTTTTTTATTAAAGCAATTTATCATTAAAAACAAATAAAGATTAATTTGGCAATGTTATACAAAATAATTAATAATGATAGTAAAACATAATAATAATTCATTATTAATATTTCATATCTGAATCCACCATCACAACGACGACCTGTTCCTCATCCTCATCCATTATACTATCATTGTCTTCCTCATCTAATATTTCTTCATCATTTCCTTCGGAAGGACTTTTCTGATACAGAAGAACAATCAATTTGTTACAAACAGACTTGGTTCACAATCTGTTGACCATGCTCTTTTTTAAAACAAAACAAAAAATTGTTTTTTTTTCAATTTCAAATCAGGGTTAAAGACTGGTCTTCAATTTTCCCGGTAAAATTACTTAATATTAATATTAATATTAAAGGAAAAAGATCGCCAATTTTGCCGGTAAAAGCCGGCAGGATCCTTAACCCTGATTTCAATTATTTTTCTCTGTGAATCGGGGAAATGGAAGCCTGAGTATTAGAAGCCCATGGTGCCGCTTATGACTTATCGGAAAAGATGAGTGCATGGTTATGTGGTTTTGTAAGTTTTTATAGTGAAGCATTTTTTTAAATGTTATCTAACAAAAATTAAATAGCAATTATTAAGGACTTGCGATTTGATTAGTTTGATTTTTTCCCCGAGAGTAGGTGAATTGGTGATGTTCAAACACAAGATGGAATTATTTACCTTGTTTTTTTTTTATGGTCAAGGATTACGTTTTCAATAGAGTCCTATATGACTAAATTTGAACCTGATTTTGTTGCAGTATTTTGAGTTTGGACTACCATTTTGACTTTTTACTCGGTTAACTCTTGAATAACTCTTGAATAATTAAATTTTTCCTGTTTAATTAATTCAGGTTTTTGTTTCTCTAACCCTTTAATTTTATTCTAAAGTTCTGAATATGTTTTTGCTGTTCAAGGTTATTTTGTTTAAATATTTTAATTGCTGTTTTAATTGAACAATATCATTTTCTAGTTGCTGATTATTTGCTTTGCTCTTCTCGTTTGCTTTTTTTATCCTTTAACTTTTGATATTGCTGATCCTTGTTGGTTATTGTTGTATGATTGGTTTATGTCCTCGTTTCTTTCCTTTAATCCCTTCTTTCCCTGTTTTTGGTTCTCATCATATTCCGTTTTGTATTGATCA